GCCACGTGGGGGTAAAAACCCCCACTCAGCATCCCACAAGGACATCCATGACCAAGGCAAGCCAAGGCACAGAGGGTGAGCAGCGTGCCCGGGCAGTTTCCCTGGCTGTGGCTAAGGATGGGTCGGTCCCAGCCGTGCCAATTCCCCTGCAGGGCAGGCGGGGAGGGCCAAGCCCGGCGGTGCCGGCGGCCCCGCTAATGAGGCTGCGGCGGAGCGGGGCCGCGCCCGGAGCGGCTCGGAGGAGCTTTGGGGCTCATGAGGGGCAATGGAAATGCCAGGACAGCCCCGGCCAGGCTGGCAGGGCGCCTGGGGAACGCTGAGTGCCGGCTGGCTGGTGATCCTGCCCGAGCTGAGCCGGCTGGAAATCACCAAGGGGGTGTTGGAGGGGAGAGGTGGTGATGGGCGCCAGCCACACACAGGTTCACAGTGTGAGTGGAACATGGACACGTCCTTGTGGAGGGGTCTTACCCACCTCTGTACCCAGCCAGGGGTGTCCTTCCAGCTCCAAGGGAGGTAGGTCTCCAGAGACACGTGGGGAAGCCACTTTGGTGCTGTTCATTCACTTCTCCCGTGAAAGCTGTCCTTACTCCTGCCATAAAGGTTCATCCGTGCTTGGGCTGAATCCACATGTGTGGTAGGGAAAAACAACAGCAATGAGGACTTGGAGGTGCGAGTGGTGCACACAGAAGTGAGCAGGACCTGCCCCAGGGGTTTCTAGCTCATGTCCAAATGTATTTGGTGGAATCTTTGCTGAGGAATCTACTCCCAGCCCCTTGGGGTGTCCTGGTCCCTCTGCCTTGGGCCCAGGGGCATCACAGCCTCTGAGCAAGGTTCAGCGTTGTGCTGGATTCTGCTCCCAAGGCTCTGCAGTGGGATGTGGGCTTCACCTGGAGGAAGGCCAGCTACACCTTTCTGTCAGCTGGAGAAGAAGTTGAATTTAGCATTGGTGTGTGGATGGGGGGCTTGGCCCTTTTCCTCCAGCCCTCCCATGGCAGAGCTGGAGATGTTTCCCACCACCATCTCCACCTGTCCAGGAGCTTTCAGAGAGAGGACACAGGAGCAGGCAAGCACCATCCTCTTCCTACTCACTGGATTTGCCTTTTTCTGTCTTGCTGAGCTCTAGCATCAACATGGCTGAGACCTCCCTCACCCTGGGCTGGGTAAACCCCCAGGCAGCACCCAGCAGCCTTTCCCTAGCCTGAAAGGGGGATGATGGGCTACAGGTGGCTGGGAGGAGCAGGGGGAACATGCAGGCAAAGCAGTGAGCCAGCCCTCAGCATAATAATAAATAGCAGCAGCACACAGCACCTGCCTACCCATTATCAGCTGCTTTGTAGGCACCCCAGAGAGGAGTTGGAAGGAGAGGTTTGAAAGGGACACAGAGGCTCCAGGCTGCCTTAGAGTTTCTCCCACGTAGAGGGATGAGGCGAGAGAAAACATGAAAGCATTGGTAGGTTGAGTCACCAACCCTGGAGGGATTCAAGAGATGTGTAGATGTGGCACTTGGGGATGTGTTTTATTGGTGGGCTTGGCAGTGCTGGGTTAAGAGTTGGACTTGGTGATCCTGAAGGCCTGGACCAACCTAAATGATTCTGTGGAAATCTAGGAAAAAAAGCCGTCTCCAAGTGCTGGCTGGGGGTTCAGCTGGAGCCTCCCAGCAGATCTGAGGGTTTGTGAGCATTTTCACCCCGCAGTTTGCAAACAGGGAAAGTGAAGCAGCAAGGATTTAGGTGCTTGGGGGAACCAGGCAGCACCCAGGTGTCCTCTTTCCAGCTGGGCTTGGAGGTTTCCTCCATGCAGGATTTGCTCTGTATGCTCTGGGGAGAGGGAGGAAGCTGGGGGAGATGGAGGAGAAGCCTCTCCTAACAGAAAACAGGTTTCCAGTAACTGCAGTGGGTTTGCACCTTAATTATTTCCTTTGGCTCTGCTACTGGGAATGGTTGTGTCCTTAAAGTTGTTACAAGGGCAAAAGGGAGAGGAAAAGCAATCCTGACATCCTGTCCTCTGGGTCCAGATGTAGCTGGCAGAGTACAAATTAGCGGGTGGAGAATGGAATCGCTTAAAAAGAAATTTAATGAGATCGGTATGCAGGCATCTGGTTCCTATCAATCATCATTTTGTGTGATATGCAATGGTAAATATCATCTTTTAATGACTCTGATGGAGAAAAAAAGCCCAAACCACACACACACACATAATGATCCAAAAACCTTCCAGAGCCCAAGAGGTTTGAACTCTCCAAATTTTCTGTAGATGGAAAAACCCCAACAGACACCTCTTCTAACTCACTATTGTTGGATTATTTTACTTCTTTTTTTTTCTCCTTTCCTCTGGTTATATTTAACCTTTGTGTTAAATTAATCTTCTCTGTTTATTAACAACTACCACTGAGTGAGCCTCCTTCCCTCTTCTTTGTGCTTGGACAGCTCAAATATTTGCTCCAGGCTGAAGTTCTTGCTGCAGGCGCCTGCTGCTCTCCAAGGAGAGGTGGCTGCAGGTCTCTGGCCATCCATAGGTTTGCTCCTGAAGATGTTTTGGGCTCCTCTGTTTCAGTTCTCCACCAAAGAAATCCAGCAGACACAGGATTGAACACATGAGCTGAGGGTTTGCTGGTTTTGCGTCCCCTGGGAAAGCTGCTGGGCTCAGCTCCCGTAGGGGCATCAGCCTGAGGGTCTGCAAAGCAGGGAAAGGTTGAAAACCAAGTATGGGATCCTTCATTGGTCTGGTCTCATGCAGGTTGGGGTATTTGGAGGGTTTAACCAGGCTTTGCTCCTGGCATATCTGGCCAAAGTGGGGAGAGGTGGAGGTGATGGTCCCAGGGTCTCTTTTTGGCCCTTCTCTTGTTGGGGACACACTGTGACTCCTCAGGATGCAGAGGTCAGTCCCCCCTTGCTATTCCCTTCGTGGTTCAAACCAGGATTTTTTCTCAACTCGTTTCCCATGCCTTGAGAACATGCTGCCCTTCAGCTGAGACCAAATACAGCTTTTCAGGGAGCTTCCCATGGTTTGGGGCTCAGAGGCTGAGGCATGAGGGAGCAGCTGGCAGCCTCCATTCCCTGGCTGGGGCAGCAGGTCCCATTTCCAGTGCCATCCCTGGCTCCCAGTGCCTGGGGGGAGCCTGTTAAAGGGAAAGATCCACTGTGGGATGGTCAAACCCACAGCTCTGACCCCAGCAGGATGATCCCTGCTGGAGCTGGAGGGCTTTGCTGGGTGACTGGAGCTGCAACAGCTTGAATAGAGGTGGGGAGGGATGGGATGGGATGGGGGCTGAGGGATGCTGAGTCCAGCTGGAAAAAATGGTTCCATTAAACCAGAGTGGAACACTTGCCCTTCTGTGGGGAAATGCCCAGGGCAGAAGTCTGAGATGCTGGGAATGATGTTCCCTGTGAAGCCCTGGCCAGCTCCATCCCCCAGCACCTCTCTGACAGCTCTGGGCTGAAGGACTGAGCATCTCTGTGGCAGCAGGAGCTGGAGACAGCCAGGCCTGGGAGTGATTTCTCCCGACAGGGACCAGATGTGTCAGGAGGAGCTGTGCTGGGAGGAGGAGGCTGCACAACAACAAGAGGAGTTTTGTCATGGGTCCCCTCTGGGTTTCAAAAGCAACACCTCAGCTCCCCCTTCCACCTTCCTTCCTCCCCCACCCTTTCTGCCACACATTCTTCACACCTCCAAAACCTATTTTGGGCCATCTGATGAATCCCAGCTGCCTGGGGAAGCAGCAGGAGCCGTGGTGCACTCCAGGCACAGCTTCCTTGGCAATGCCCCCAAGCTTTCACAAGCCAAGGGAGCGGGGGAAGGAAGGGAGGGAGGGGGAAAAGGAGGATAACAAACTGGTAAAGGAGCCTGGTACTCAATATTGTGATTATTCACTGAGTGGTGAGTGGGGAAGAGGATCCCACCTGGTTCTGGAGAGAAGGAGTGATGGTTGGAGAGAGAGGTGGGATGGGTTCAGGCTCCTGTGGTTTGGGATGGTGCTTGGGAAGGGGGTTAGGGAGGGGAGCAGGGAGTCTGCCTGGAGCCAGGAGTGATGGGGGACAGCCTGGGAGGACTCTGCTGCCTCCTGAGCATCCTTCAGCAGCCCATGAGGCAGGGAGAGCCCCGTAGGAGGGAGGGAGCTGGGTGGCAGTGGGGAACCAGCACTGGTGTGGTTCTCCCTGCAGAAATTCGGTGGAAGGGGGTGGTTAATGTGACTCAGGTGTCAGCCCCAGCTGCAATCCTGGCATGGGTGGTGTTGACATTGGTGGCTCCAGCCCTGGTCCCTGTTACCTTGAGCCCTTCAATTCCCTGTCCTCTCCAGCCCTCCACCTCCCTGGGGAGCTCAGCATATCAGCTGTGACCCCAACTTCATTTCTTTCAGCTGCATTTCATTGGGGTTGATTTAATCCTGCAGAAAAGAGAGTACCCAGGCCTCCCTACAGAGGGGCTAGTGAGTTTTTGGAGAATTTTTGTGCTGGGAAAAATGTCCCAAATGAGCAGTGACATCAGCTCAGGCCTTAGGTCCTGCTGGAGACTCTGGTGGGGCTGATCCATGAAAGGTGGGGCAGCTTGGACAAGTTCTGGGTGGCAATGCAGAAATGAAGCCCATGGGAGCAAGGAAGAGGGGCAAGGAGAGGCTGGATGGGATAAAGAGAGGTTTTCCTGCTCATCTCCAGCTCTCTGAGGCAGGATGTGATGTTTTGATATATGTGGGCACATATCCAGCATCTGGCACGCCTGGGTGGCAGCTCTGGGCATCAAGAACTCAGTCTTGCTTCTGCTTTGAGAATGAATATCCAGCTGTGATGACCTTGTAGCAGATGGGGTTTGGGAAAAAGGCATCCACCTGCTGGTTTTCAGACAGCTGAATGCTGCAGCTCCTGGGGAATTTGATAGGAAAATCAGCCCTGGCTGTGTGAGACACAAGGGATGGATTCCACCATCTCCATCCCCTGTACTTTGCTTTAACCCCTCAGCCTGCTCTCCCCCTGCTGATGGCACTTCATGTCTGCTCTTTCTGGAAGGTTTTTTGTGAACTTCCCCTCGGCCAAGCAGTATTTCAGCCAGTTCAAGCACATGGAGGACCCTCTGGAGATGGAGAGGAGCCTGCAGCTGCGCAAGCACGCCCGGAGGGTCATGGGGGCCATCAACACCGTGGTGGAGAACCTCAACGACTCTGAAAAGGTCTCCTCTGTCCTGGCCCTGGTGGGCAAGGCCCATGCCCTCAAGCACAAAGTGGAGCCCATCTACTTTAAGGTAAAGAATAGGTGTGACCGTGTTCACACAGGTCTCAGGCTGAGGATCTGACTCCATGTTTCAGAAGGCTGATTTATTATTTTATGATATATATTACATTAAAACTATACTAAGAGAATAGAAGAAAGGATTTCCTCAGAAGGCTGGCTAAGAATAGAATAAGAAGGAATGATAACAAAGGTTTGTGGCTTGGACTCTGAGCCAGCTGACTGTGATTGGCCATTAATTAGAAACACCCACATGAGACCAATCCCAGATGCACCTGTTGCACAGCAGCAGATAACCATTGGTTACATTTTGTTCCTGAGGCCTCTCAGCTTCTCAGGAGAAAAAATCCTAAGGAAAGGATTTTTCATAAAAGATGTCTGTGACAGATAGGAGCAAAATAACCTTGGGGCTGCTGCAGGAACAGGGCAGGGGAGCAGGAGCTGTGGTGAGCAGGAGCTGTGTGAGCTGGTGCTGCCTGGCCTTGGCTGGGTGTGGGGGCTGCTCCCCACACAGCTGCAGTGTCCCACTGTGGCACTGTCCCTCCCTGCCCACACACAGCCACTGCCAGAGCACCCAGTGCCTCCCCCTGCCCAGGGAAGCCCACATGGCTGTGCCCATGTTTGTGGCTGTGTCCCTCTTCTTCTGGAAATTAAGCATGACAGCAGGGACTCAATTAGTTGGCTAATTAGCCCCCCCTCCAGCTCTGCTTGGTTTCTTTCTGAGGGGAACAATAACCCCAAGATCACAGGTTTGATCCCCACGTGGCCATTCACTCAAGAGTTGGATTTGATGATGCTCATGGGTCCCTTCCAACTTGGAATATTCTGTGATTCTGGAAATAATTTGGAGTGCCCAGACTGGGGAGATGCCTCAGCCTGCCAGCACCTCCCTCCTCTGCTGCCTGTCCTGTCTGCTCCCAGGGGTGTCAACAGACCTCCAGGGCATCTGTGTCCTACAGACAGCAGCAGGATTCAAGTGGTTTTGTAGGAAAAAGCTAAATTTGCTGTGAGCAGCTGTCTGGAGAGTTATTAACCCCTTCCTTGCTGTCTGCCCCCCTCAGAAACTCACTGGTGTGATGCTGGAGGTGATTGCTGAGGAATACCCCAACGACTTCACCCCGGAGGCACACGGAGCCTGGACCAAGATGAAGACCCTCATCTACACCCATGTGACAGCAGCCTACAAGGAGGTGGGCTGGGCTCAGTACCCCACTGCCACCCTGTGAGCGCCCAGGGGGCCACCAGAGGGGCAGGGAGGGCTTTGCTCACCCCAGGACTTCGCTCTGGTCTCTTCTCAAGATCTTTGCTCGGTTTGGGGAGCCCGGTAGGGCCAGTTCTGTCAGCTGCCAAGTCACAATTTGATCTCCATGGGGTTTAAAAACAAACTAAATAAGCCAAAAAAACCACAGAACCATGAAGGGCGTGGGTGGGTCGGGGTGAAGCAGTTGCAGGGGACGCTGGAAGGGGATGCAGAGGGTGAGGGGAGAGCTTTGGTTGTTGGCTCCATCTTCCTGTCCTGGCCTGTCCATCACCACCTCCCAAATCCTGCACCTCACTTGCACCATCTCAAAGTCCCTTGCACAAGTGCTGCTGCCCCATTCACTGATGAACAACACAACCCTCATTTTCCATGTGAGGCCCCTGGCTAAACCTGGCTGTGGGGGCACACCTGGAGCCCCTGACTGCACCGAGAACTTTGCTTTGCTTTGCACTTTGTGTGTCACCTGGCAGGGCTGACAGGCAGAGCCTCCCTGGGTGCCCATTACCCCGTGCTCCAGGTGGGCAGCAGAGCTCACCTGCCCTGTCACCCACAGTCCCTGTCCTTGGCTGGCTGCTGCAGCCCCTCCTGGGGTGGGAGAGAAGCTCCCCCACAGCACCAGAGAGGGGAAGGAGGGGGATGCCCCTGGGGGGATCCCTCATGGCTCAGAGCATGGTGTGTGGGTGGGATCCCTGTGCCATAGGTGGGGAGCTGGTGAGTCCACCCACTGCCCTGCAGCTCCCTGAGGAGGGGCTTGGATGGAGCACGGTGTGCCCTGGGAGCTGCTGTGTGCAGGTCTGTCTGTCCTCTCGGTGACAGGGGGGGTCAGGCTGTGACTAGGAGGAGGAAAGATGGCACAGACATATCAGGAGGGATTTCTGGTCATGAGGAAAGGTCCCTTTTCTGTTAACATTAATAAATACCTTGTACAGAGCATATTCCTGCCCTCGTGGTGAGACTGGGCTCCTCCAAATCAAGTGCCTGGTAGAAATCAGCCCATGCAGGAGCTGTGTCCCTCCTGGGGACAGCAGTGCTCCTGCCTGTGCCTGACAAAGGCTTCTCCCACACCCCCAAACGTGGCTGCAGGGCTTGGAGCACTCATCCCTCCTCCAACACCAACTCCTCCTGAACCTCTGGGTCAGTCTGCCTGGTTTGTGCCTCAGTTTCCCCTGCAGATATGAAAAAGGGAGGAGGAGGAGCAGCCCCGTTGCCTCCTGCCCACATGTGGTTGGATTCATAACATTTCTGGGAACTGAATGGCAAAGGATTGAGGATGAAATGTCAGATGTGCTGGGAAGCTTTGGAATCCTTGGCACCCAATATTTCCCTGAAGGCCTCTGCTATTTTTAGAGCTCAGGCATTAAGGGCAATGTTATCTGTGGAAGTGGGAGGAGGGTTCCCCTCTGAGATTTCCTCTGGCCTTGCTCCACCGCTGTCCTGGAGAGCTGGCAGCTTCCTGAGAGAGACCAGCTCCTCTCCTGGGTGCCAGCTGGACAGGCAGCAAGCCCAGAGCTCCAACTGGGATCCCCACAGCCACCCTGGGGACATCCCTCCACTGTGGGGGCCATGGTGACTCCCCCAGGCTGCCCTCCCTCCTCCAGAGCAGACAGACAGACAGAAACTCCTGCTTTGCTCACCTGTGCTTCTCACCATCCCCGGGAACAGAACAGGTTCATTATGTCTCATAACAGCCCCAGGACACCAATAATGTCACTGAAGCCTCTCTGGCCTTGCAGTCCTTTCCTTCCTGCATCCCACAGTTCCACTGATGGACAGGAGCAATGGGGCCTGGGGCAATGGCACCTCCTGGGCACCCACGGAGAGCTGGGTGGCAACAACAGCTGGGCACAGCTGTCCTGGGCATGGCAGCCTGCAGGTCCAGGGGGCTGTAAAAGGAAGGGACAGGCACAGGGTGACAAGTGATGCTGCTTTGCTCATGGGGGGGCTGTCAGCCAGAGTCAGCATCCCCAAAATCCAGCCCAGCAGCCTGCACTGGTGAAGGTGCCAATGGCTGCAGCCCCAGCTCACACTGGGGTGTCACAGAGGCTGCTCATCCCTCAAACAGCTGCTGCTGCCTGGGTGGGGGTGAATGGGAAAAGCCTGTTCAGCCATTGACTTCCCTCCAGTGCAGGGCTGGGAGGGATCCCTTGGATCAAGACTGTTAGGTGATGTCTGTGTGTGTGCACACCACGGGACTCACGAGCTTTGCTGACTCCTGCCAAGGCCTTGGGGCCAGCAGCACACATTTCTGAGCAGTTCATGCACTCCCTGTGCTCTGCACATGCTGGGCCAGGGGTGTTTCTGTACAGGGATGTTTCATCTTTAGACAAAATTTGCACATTGACCTTTGAGGTTAATAATCTCCAGGTGGGAATTTTATTTTTGCAGCTCAAACCCTTCCCCTCCCTTCCCACAACCAAAACTGGGCTCCCAGTCTGCAGAGAAGCCACTTTGGAATGTCTGGAAATTCTCCATGTTCATACCCAACCTACCCTTGTGCCTTGGCTTTTGGGGGGCAGCAGCAGGGAGGTCCCCCCACCTCCCCATTAAACAGTGCTTTGGTTTCTCCTTTCTTTTTTTACATCCCCAGAAAAGCTGACCCACAGCCTCCTGCACCACGTGTGTGTGTGCTGGGCTTGGGGTTTTTTCCAGGCACTTTTTCCTAAGGCAGATCCAGATGTGTGCAGCTGCTGTCCCTCGAGGAGCGCTCCCCCATCAGCCAAATCGCAGCCCACTCCGATAGATGCAAACAAAGCCACGTTTATTTTTATTTTTATCAGCTTGCTAGGAAGTGACACGAAGCAGGAGGGCGGCGGGGCAGGGCCCGGGAGGGGAGGAGATGGAGATGAAACGAACGCCCCCTCTCTGCACTGCTGAAACCCAGCACCGTCCTCATCTGGGGAGAGATGAAGATCAACAGAGCGAGGGAAAAGCACCATTCCAGAGTGACAGGGCTGATGAATGCCGTGCGGGAGAGCAGAAAGGGGGGCATGTCCTGGCTCTGTGCGTGGCTCTCTGGCACACACACCCCCCCATGCACAGCCATTCCCTGTCACTGCCGGCCCACTGCTCCCCCCAGTCCCACCACAGCTGACTGGGGGCCCCTTTATCCCCATTTTGTTCAGGTCTGGCTCTCTGGGGCTTGGCCTTTCACTTCCTGGCACATTTAGGCTGAGCTAAGGGCACACTTAGGCTGAGCTTTGCTCTCCTTGGGGGTGGCACTTGGGGACCAGCTCTCAGAGTCCTTTCCCCAGGGCTCACAGGTGAGGGCTGAGGCTCAGGGCATCACTGCCAGCACATGCTGGGCCCACCTGGTCTCTCGCCTGCCCGTGGAGGACCCTGTGCCCCCCAGACCCAGCCTGCCCCTGGCTCTGCCAGCACCTGGGCATTATCATCAGGGCTGGGCTTGGAGCTGTGATCCAGGTGGGAAAGCCTTTGTGCCCCCTGGCAGAGGTGGGGAAATGCTGAGTGAGGGGGGATTTGGTGTCCCCCTTGAGCCCCTCGTCCTGGCTCTCTTTGGCAGCACCTGCTCACATCAGCCAGCTCTCGTCCCCCCCTGCAGCTCAGTGTTTGGTCAGAGCCCTGGGGCAATGGGGGCACTGGGCTGGGATGGGGCACAGATCCCACCCACCGTGTCTCCCCCTCCATGGCCAACATTCCTGGCAGGTTTAGCTCTGGACACCCAGAGACACCCCCCAAAACCACTAGAACCCTTATGGGCCTTGTGCCACCAACCTCATCTTCTCTTGGGGGGTGACAAATCCCCAGGGCAGCCGATTCTCACATCTCTGCCCTTTGTCCCAGGAGAGAGGTCACAGTGTCCCCCCAGTGCCTGAGGGGATGCTCAGAGACTTCAGGGGGGACCAGATTTCACCTGGCTGGACTCTGGTGCCAGCACTCAGCCTTCCCTGCCCCTGGCCATGGGGAAGCTGCCCTGCTGTGGGGATGTGGGGGCCAGCACCACCAATGCCAGGCAGAGGGATCAAAGGGAAACCCACACTGACCTTGGACCAGCTGAGGGAAAGGAAGGGCCAAAACCACCCGCCTGGTCTGACCTCTGTGCCAGGCTGCCAGTTATTTTCCATAGCTGAAGTTGTCTCTAAGTGTTGGTGTGTCTGACCCAGCCCCAGCGTGCCCCACAGCCATGAGTGTGGTCTGATGTAACCCTGTGTCTCTCCTGTTCCTGCTGCAGATCCTGTTCATGTTCGTGTTCCTCGGCGCTTCCGTGCTGGTTTTATACCTGCCTTCCGTGTTTATGGGTGTAACTTGGTTTTTTTCTTTTTGTAGGTTTTTAGTATGTTTGTAACCGGACAAAATGGTGTTATTAAACTGAAACTTGTATCTTCAGTGGATAAATCAATCAAACCCCTCTCCAGCTCTGCTTGGTTTCTTTCTGATGGGAAGGTGAGGGGTGTTGGGGGCTGTCCCATGGCTGTGTGGGTCTGAGGGTTCCTGCTCGCTCTGAGGGAGTTTTTGGCAGGAAAAAAGCAGCAAAGGGAGTGGATGTGCCCAGCAAGGGTGGTAGAGGTGGCTGGAGGCATCTCAGCTGTGCACTCCTGTGGGGAGGTGTAGGAGCATCAGGGGTAGCACAGTCGGGACGGACGGAGATGAGAGATCTCTGCAGCCAGGACTGGAACTTGGGGTTCATTGCAAAGGGCCTGGGGGCAGGGCCCTGCTGGGAGCTGCCAGCCACAGCTCAGAGCAGGACTGAGAGAAGAGAGGGGGAGAGAGGATGAAAGGGTGAGAGAGTCAAAGCAGAAGAGAGTAAAAGGGGTAAGAGAATAAATGGGGTAATAGAGCAAAGTTCCTGTTACAATACCATAAATCTTCTTCTGTGCTGAATATTCTGATTCTCACTAACCAATCTAGTACAATATACAAATCCTACAGCATTTACATACAGCCTATAAGAATCATTACATTACCATACTGTGTTATATTTTAAACCCTAAAAACTCCTCTTTGGGC